AATGGCGCTGTTTTTATGGGTACGTGAAAACCGTATACAGTCTTTAGAATTCAGCTTTTTAAAAATGGTTACAAAGCCACTACCAATTATTAATTTTTTTTATTGAAGTACAATTTACATATTGCAAAATGAACAGATCTTTTGCGTTCAGTTCATCAGTTTTGACAAATGCATACACCTGTGTCATCCACACCTCTATCAGTACAAAGAATACTACTATCACCATAGATAAGTCCCTCCTGTCCCTTCCTAATCAATCCCTCTGCTCCAACAAAAGCAAGAAGAAATCAGTGTTTGATCACTATAACCACAGATTAGTTTTGGTAATTCTGGAACTTTCTATAAATAGAATAACACAATATGTACTTTTTTTTGCTTCTTTCACTCACCATCTTATTTTTGGTATAAATCTATATAATTGCATGTATCAGAGGTCATTCCTTCCTATTGCTGAGCAGTATTCATTGTATGAAAATACACTTTGTTTTTCTACTCTACTATTGATGAATACCTGGAGTGTTTCCAGTGTGGAAGTGTTAAGAACACATGCTACGAACATTCTTTTACAAGGTTTATTGTAAACATGTGTTTTCATTTCTCTAAGATAAACACCTAGGAGTGAAATTGCTGGTCACAGGGTAACAGTTTAACATTTAAAGAAATTGCCAATCTGTTTCCCAAAACTGGTTGTACCACTTTACACTCCTGTCAGCAAGTTATAATGGTTCCAATTGGTCTACAACTTTGCTAACATTTGCTGTTGTAAGTCATACTCATTTTAGCCATTCTTGTGGAGGTAAACTGGTATCTCATTGTGACTTTAATTTGGGATTTCCTGATAATGATGTTGAGCACTTTTTCATATAAATATACTATTGTATATAGTCTTGAATTGTCTGTATAAAGCTTTTGCCTATTGTAAAAACTGGGTTGTTTGTATTTTTATTATTGAGCTGCAGTGGTTTATTATGCATTTGGAATACAAGCTTTCTGTCAGATATGTGTGTTGAGTATTTTCTCTCAGTACATAGCTTGACTATTGGTCTTATTAATAGCATCTTTTGATGAAAAGTGTTTAATTTTGATTAAATCCAATTGATCTATTTTTTCTTTTTTGTTTAGTGTTTCTGTGTCTTTTCTAATATTTGCCTGCCCCAAAGTTACACATACTTTCTCCTATATTTAGTTATAAAAGCTTTGTAAAATTATAGTTTTTACCTTTAGGTCTATGTATGATGTGAGATAAGGTCCCTGAGTGGTAAAAATGGTTTGTGCTCGGCTACTAACCAAAAGCTTGGCAGTCTGAACCCACTCAGCAGTGCCACAAAAGAAAGGCCTAGTGATCTGCCATAAAACTACAGCCATTGAAAACCCTATGAAGCACAGTTCTACTCTGAAACAGGTGGCGTCACTATGAGTCAAAATCCACTTGATGGCAGCAGGTACATGGTGTGAGGTAGGGGTCAAGGTTCCTTTTTCTCCATGATTTTCAGTTATTGCAGCACCATTTGATGAAAACACTTTCTTTTCTCCACTGAATTGCTTTGGGGCTGTTGCTGAAAATCATTTGACTATGTATGAGTCTATTTCTGGACTCTTCTGTCTGTTCTATTATCTATTTATTAATCTTTTCATCAATACCATACTATCTTGATTACTGTAGTTCTCTAGTAAGTCTTGAAAACAGGCAGTGTTAGTATTCTAAATTTTTCTTCTTTTTAAAAATATCTTTGGATATTCTAGCTCATTGGCATTTCCATGTAAAAAGAATAATCATACCAACTTTTGCAAAAAAGCCTGCTATGTAAATATAATTATTATGGAAAATACATCTTTATACAAGCTAAATATAAACAACACTAGTCATGTTACACATTAATATCTCTTTTATTTACGGAGATTTTAATGTTTTCATGTTTAAAATAATTATGAGCTAAGAATAATGTATTTATCAGTTGTATTGAGATAAAAATCACATACTATACAATTCACACATTTAAAGAGTACAATTCAATGGTTTTTAATATGTTCACAGAGGTAGAGAAATAGTATCACAATCAATTTTGGAGCATGTTCATTACCTAAAAAAAATTCCGTACCCAATTAGCAATCATTCTCCACATCCCCCAATACCTGCTGACCCTAGGAAATCACTAGTCTACTTTATGTCTCTATGGATTTGCCTATTCTGGACACTTCACATAAATAGAACAAATCAGTCTTAGAAGAACTATAACCATAATGTTCCTTAGAAGTAAGGATGGCTAGACTTTGACTCATTTACTTTGGACATGTCTTCAAGATAGACCAATCACTAGAGAAGTACATCATGTTTGGTAGAGGACTACCGACAACAAGGGAAACCCTCAATGAGATGGACTGACACAACAGCCACAACATAGGTTCAAACATATAAAATCATGAAGATGGTGCAGGACTGGGCAACATTTTGTTCTGTTACACATAAGTTCACCTTGAGTCAGAGCTAACTCAAAGGCAACTAAGAACAACAAAAACCCATTCAGTAGTAAAATGTCAGGATTAAGCTATTGTTCCTGTTCAGCTACAGAGCCAATCAGTGACTAAAAACCACATAAAACTTTATTTTTCCTGAGACTAGGTAAATAAGCACTTTCAGGAGTCCCTGTCTGACCCTAAAGAAGCACATGATGGAGTCTGATCTACCTAAAATGTCTATTTGTTGAAATTCTCTCATCATTAATAATCTTACTAAAACTACAACTTTGTGACACATTCTTTAGTGACATATCCTGTCTGTTGAACAACGTTATTTATTATATGCTATTTGATCAAACTCAAAAGAAATTCTTTTTCTGTACTTTCATCCTCTTTTATTGAGATCTAAAGTATAGATGAAATAACTATAAAAAATCAAAAGTGTATTTGGTTTATTTGCTCTTTCTGCATCACCTATCTGAGTTTCCAAGAGGATTTCTTGCTAAGAAGATTACTGCCTTCTTTATAACTCCCACTTAACATAAGTCTATTTCTTTAAGAGTATGAGCGTGTATAAAATGCTTTAGACAGCATCTAACAGCCTACGGACAATCATTTATCTGCAATACAAGAAAAGACAAATGCTCTTGCTTTTGCTTCTATCAAGCTCAGTTCTGTTTCTCTGTAATTTGTATCCACTAAATTTGACTCAGTCCTTGAGAAAAATATTCTTCCACAAATCAATCTTTTAAATATTTGAAGACAGCAGAAACCTAAATTTCTGCTAGATGAAGCAATTTTGGTTCATTAAACCATTTTCTTCACCGTTTTTCCTCTAGATTTCTATATTAATGTCTTCCTTGAGCGTGCCATCCAAATCTAAATACTATACTCCAGGTATGAGCTACTCAGGGTCAAAGTGAGATGATGTCCCACATTATTTTGGATACCAAAAAATATATCAATGGCAACTAAGATCTCATCGCTGGTGGGGGAAGGGGAGGAAAATAACAATGCTTTTCACATTCAACCTTCACAAAAACGAGAAGACTATATGGACAAAATAGCTTACTATGTTTGTTAAGAGTAGTTCCTCTGTGTCAATAAGTTAAAGCTAACTGAAATGCCACGTCCTAACGCATATCATTTAATAAGCATAATCGGACACAATTGAGAATTTGAGAAAACCTATGGTTTTTCCCCAGAATATACATATATCACATAGAACGAAGAGATACTACTTATAAGGGATTTCGCTGTTGCCTGAAGCCCATCTATGGATCAGAGAGATGCGCTATTCACTACTAAAACACCACTTGCTTAGCTGGCCTAATAACATGCTTAGCGCTGCTGTTCTACCTGCTAGTTTGTTGCATAGTGCCCGCTGTCTTAAAAACTTGCAAGTGGCCATCCAAGGCACGACAATTGGTCTGTATTCATCTGAAGCAAAGGAGGAGGAAGGAGAGTCAGGAATAGGAGGAGGAAATGGAACATGTGGCTAACTGCCTCCATGAACAACTACCTCCTTTGCCATGAGACCAGAAGAACTGGATGATGCCCACTCCCATTACTGAACATTTTGATCAAAGATTCTACAGGGGAATCCTGATCAAAAGGGGGAAAATACAGAACAGAATTTAAAATTCTCATGAAATTCAGACTTTCGGGAGCTATGGAGGCTGGATAAACCCCTGAATCTACTGCTCTGTGATAATCTTTAAACCTTAAGCCAAAAATATTCTCTGAAGTCTTCTTAAAACTGAACATTTTTTTAGCTTAACTAGTAAAAGAATGCCTGCCTTGAGCATTGTGCTCTTTTAAGATCTATATGGCATCAAATTGACAACAGTAACTCGAAAGTTTAGATGGGAAACTTAGGGGGCAGTGAGCTTAGGTTAATGAGGGAGGAAAAACTCAAAAAGGAGGATGAGAATGGTTGGACAACTCAAAGAATATAATCAATGCCATTGAATGGTACATGTAGAATTGTTGAATTGGTATATGTTCTGCTGTGTATACTCTCAACAACAAAAATAAAATAAATTATTTAAAAAATGCTTAGAATGCTCCTCAGATTTCTTCAGGTCCCCAATAAAGAAATGTACACAGCAAAAATAAAAAACATATTAAAATGTATAGATGAATTTATCAAATTAAAATAATTGGAAATAAATAATGTCTAATAGAATAATGTCTAACAGAAAACTATAGCTAAAGAAGAACCAAGCAACACTTTTCTTGTATTTTCTTCAAAGAATGTGTTTTCCTATGCGTATTATTCTTCCATTACTATTTGTCAGATTCTGGCATGTTGAAGTACAAGGAGGTATGTCTTGACATAAATCCCATTGCTAAATATATTCACTTATTTGACAAATATTGAGGGCTGACTATGTGCACTCTCCTTGGCACTGTATTAGGCCCTGGAATTCCCCCAGTCCCACAAAAAAAGGACCACCTTAGTCTCAGAGACTGCATTCTAGTAGGGAAGAGATAAAATTAAGAAACACAAATATAAATGTAAAGATATCCAAAAAAGATACCTGACAATGCATTTCCATGATGAACCATCTTGATCATCTTGTTCTTCTATGTACAATCTGACATTGTGATCTTGATCCAACTGGTACCAGTACATGAGGCCATCTTTGTCTCGGCCAATTGGCTGGAGACGCATAGTGTCGGCATCTTCCTCATTAATAATATTCTTGAATTTGAGATTGTCATCAAACTGACACTCGCAGAGGTACTGGAAAATAACCAGAATATGGTTTAAAACATCCCATAAATATTTCTCCATCATTATAAATGTGATACTTTCAACCATCATATTAAAGTCTTTTGTTACTCTTAGGCTGTGTCAAGAGGTACAGTATTGGCCATTAACACAGATATAAATGCACTTTTAAGATTCCAATCTAAGAAATTCTTTTACTTCACTTGGTGTTTCTCAGTGCAATGTAGGGATCTAACACTCTTAGATGTCGTAGTGGCTTACTATAGCACTGACACAGAGATAGGAGTGGAAAGAACATGTGTAGTGTAGCCATCTTTCACCATCCTCTTCCCTTTTCACATACACCCCTTGAGAATAATCAATTTTAAAAGACAGATTTTAAGTTAAGATTTTATTTTAGCATTATATAAACTTGTAAGTTTATCCCAATCACTGACATATAAATCAAGTTCTATTTCAAAAGCATTAAGCTTGCTTGTGCTAAAGTCTCCCAACTGTCTCATGGTATAAAATTTCTCGTGACTCTTTTTCTCCTAAAGGTTTAAGAGACCATTATTCTTGAAATGGCTATGTGTTTTTTAAAGCCAGAAGCATTTGCACTTTTCAGTGAACGTAGTCTTTCATTGATAGTTATCTCTGGAACATTCTTTTAATAATAAAAGAATAATAAAAAGATATTCACATGACTATTTTGGAGGACATAAATTTTTATTATATATTTTTGTGTATTACTAGGGCCTAAAGACAGATTATCTTCCCTGAGCCTCTCTGCCTAGGCAGACATCACACGAAGTTCCTATCACAGTCTCCTTGCCTGTGTTAGTTAGTCCAGTAGTCTCTAAACATTGTGATCAAGCATCCCTACCAGTAAAAAAAAAAAAGATAAAACACTCTCAATAATTGTGTGTATATATATATGTCACATATATATCTACGTGCGTATACACGTGTATATTTATAAAATATACATGTATATATTTATTATTATATATGTACCTCTACTAACATATTCTGTACATTATAAGAATGCAGAAAAAGTTATTTACAAAGCTGAGATTTTTTTAAAAATATGACTAGAAGTTGTTCTATGACTTTGTTCTGACACTTAATGAACTATGTTACATACCCCTTTGAGGCCACAAACTAGTCTTTGGTCTTAACTCCCACTCATGACTCATGGTGACACATTCGCTTGCCTGATACTACAACCTGAAATCTTCAGTTTACTATAACTTTTAGTTTTCTTAGGAAGGAATCCAACGAATCTTAGACTTTCATGTGGATCTAACAGCAATTTGGGGCAAGAAAATAACATCTCCATATAGTAATATTCTATTTCCAAAAAATAGTATATATACTTTCATTACATTTTAAGAAAAATCATTTTATCTTGACGTCCTCTGAACATGAAACCTACTTAATGTAACACCGTGAGTTAGTGAAAACTTCATTAATTTTTCTGCGAAGAATATTTTTTCCTTCATTATCCTGGCCATGTCACTACTTATTAGGACCAACATGAGGAAGTGGGCAGGAAGAGAAATGGGAAACTGAAATTTCAAAATAAACCTCCTTTGAGAAGACCCAGTTTAATCAAGGAAGTTTTGGTTATGTGAGGGTTTTATTAAGTACACAATGGCATGCCCTAGTCATTTGGAAAACAATTATATCAAATTACCTACTTCATATTATCAGCAAACAGATTAACCATGGTTACAGCATTTATTAGCAATGCTTGTGAAGGCTGAAAATAATAAATAAAATTAATCTGGGGCAACTGTTTACTCATTTTACTACTGTCTCTACAAGCAGAGATAATTAAGTCTAGCTATACTTATGTGTGGATACCCTGGTGGCGTAATGGTTAAAGAGCTACGGCTGCTAACCAAAAGGTTGGCAATTCAAATCCACCAGGCGCTCCTTGAAAAACCCTATGGGGTAGTTTTACCCTGTCCTATAGGGTCGCTATGAGTCAGAATCAACTCCCTGGCAATGGGTTTGGTTTTTTTTTAATACTTACGTGTAGAACAACAACAACAAAACCCAGTTATTTAAAGAACAGACTGTTTTTGGCACCAAAAAATGAGAATCTACTAATCTGTTCCATTTATAATAAAAATGTCTACTTTTCAATTCAATGAAGAGTTAAAAGTGAAATTTTAAATTAAAATAATTATAAATAATAAATTTATTACCTTTAAGAGTGCCAGTTTGCATTCAACACTCATTTCAAGATAGCCCTTCTTTTCCATCTCCCATGCCCAGGTGCTATTAAACTCTTGGCATATCTGTAAGAGAAAGTTAATATTTGAATACATGAAAGCAATTTTAATTTACATTTGTAGTTGTGTTATATAATACTGTCACACAACAAAATAATGTTAACTGTTCTTGTTAATATATATCTGTACACCAAACACAGTCTAACCCAATTCCACAGTAAAATGGAGCTACTTAAAACACACAGGAAATGTTTACTATTGTTTGATCACTGAATTTAAGAAATTATCTCTGCAGCACCTTCCTCTGCTCCCAAGGACTTTATACACACTTTCTGTGGCACATTCATCTACATGAAAGTAGTAATTATTTGATTCCATCTCTCCAAATGTCCTGGAATTTCCTTGAGGGCAAAGACAATAGTTTACTCTTCTCTACAAATAGAACACATTAAATAAACATGCCGAATTATATACATATTTTTAATTAAGCCACTTTCCAACTCAATATACTCCTGTTTATGGATAAAGTAAAAACTTCCTTGCTTAGCATTTGAAACTTCTGTTATGTGGCTTTAACTTCATTTCTAGGCTTTTCTCTCTACACAAGCATTCCAGGGAAACAAGAGCCACTGTAGCAGGCTAAGGTAAAATGATTTGGATAATTACTCCATCCAAAGTCAGTACAGGAGCCTTCCTTCCATTTCAGCAGCTCCTCTTAGACTAGAGGACAGAAGAGGCCAATAAGGAAAAAATCCATGAGTTCTATGACCTCTCTGAGTCAGCCTATTCAGCAGTAACAGGGGAATAGTTATAATACCAATCTTAAAGGTTGCGAAGTAGACATGAAAAATAATGTAAAATACTTAACAATTTTTTGCTCTTTTCACAATCCAAAAAACAAATACTATAATGGGTGACAAGGCAGAAGAACCAAGACAAGGCATGAGGTTATGCTGAAATGTGGAAAATAGGCTAGACAGGCAGACCGGAGAGAAACAAGTAGGCAGGTAGGACTGTTTATATGACCGCCTCAACTCAGAATAGGACCTGGAAGCCCTCCTAGGTGGGCTACCCTTTTCCTCTTCTTCACTAGTGTCATCTTTTTACCAGTTTGTACAACGAAATTACAGGAAGTCTTTGATAGGGTAGAAAAAGAACATAAAGCAAGCAATACAGCTGGGAATGGAGAGTTTTATTTATTTATTTATTGTGCTTTAGGTGAAAGTTTACAGCTCAAGTTAAAGTTTCTCATACAAACATTTAAATACACATTGTTATGTGACCCTGCTTGCTCTCCCTACCTCCTTTCCACCCTGGATTACCCATGTCCATTCAACTAGCTCCTATCCCTTTCTGCCTTCTCATCTCGCCTCTGGACAGGAGCTGCCCATTTAGTCTTGTGTATTTACTTGAACTAAGATTAAGAAGCACACTCTTCACGAGTTATCTTTTTATGTCTTATAGTCCAGTCTATTCTTTGTCTGAAGAGTTGGCTTCGGGAATGGGTTTAGTTCTGGGTTAACAGAGAGTCCGGGGGCCGTATCTTCTGGAGTTCCTATAGTCTCAGTCAGACCATTAAATCTGGTTTGTTTACTGGAATTTGAGTTCTGCACCCCACTTTTCTCCTGCACTGTGAGGGACTCTCTGTTGTTTCCTGTCAGAATGGTCAATGGTGGTAGCCGGGCACCATCTAGTTCTCCTGGTCTCAGGCTGATGGAGTCTCTGGTTTATATGGCCCCTTTTGTCTCTTGCGCTAATATTTTCCTTGTGTCTCCAGTGTTCTCCACTCTTCTTTGCCTCAATTGATGCGTCTTAGATGGTTGCTCGCTAGCTTTTATGACTCCAGACTCCACCCACTAAAGTGGAACACAGAATATTTTCTTGATAAACTTAGTTATGCCAATTGATCTAGATGTCCCCTGTCCCTGCTGCACTGTCCCTCAAACAGTTTGGCTGTGTTCAGGAAGCTTCTTAGCTTTTGGATTAGTCCAGTGGTGCTGACTTTCCCTGTACTGTGTGTTGTCCTTCCCTTCACCTAATTCTTGTCTACTTTCTAGTTAGTGAATTCCCCTCTCCCTCTCTCCTCACCCTCATAACCATCAAAGAATGTTTTCTTCTGTGTTTAAACCTTTTCTTGAATTCTTATAATAGTAGTCTCATACGATATTTGTCCTTTTGCGACTGACTAATTTCACTCAGCATAATGCTTTCCAGATTCATCCATGTTGTGTTTCACGGATTCATCGTTGTTCTTTACCATTGCATAGTATTACATTGTGTGAATATACCATAATTTATTTATCCATTCATCTGTTGATGGGCACCTAGGTTGTTTCCATCTTTTTGCTACTGTGAACAGTGCTGCAATGAACATGGGTGTGCATATATCTATTCATGTGACAGCTCTTATTTCTCTAGGATATATTCCAAGGAGTGGGACTGCTGGATCATATGGTACTTCTATTTTTAGCTTTTTAAGGAAGCGCCAAATCGATTTCCAAAGCGGTTGTACCATTTTACACCCCTATCAGCAGTGTGTAAGTGTTCTAGTCTCTCCACAACCTTTTCAATATTTATTATTTTGTGTTTTTTGGATTAATGCTAGCCTTGTTGGGGTGAGATGGTATCTCACCGTAGTTTTGATTTCCATTTCTCTAATGGCTAATGATCATGAGCATTTCCTCATTTATCTGTTAGCCGCCTGAATGTCTTCTTTGGTGAAGTGCCTGTTCATATCCTTTGCCCATTTTTTAATGGAGTTATTTGTCTTTTTGTGGTTGAAGTTTTGCAGTATCTTGTAGAATTTAGAGGTTAGACCCTGATCGGATATATCGTAGCCAAAAATTTTTTCCCAGTCTGTAGGTTGTCTTTTTACTCTTTTGGTGAAGTCTTTTGATGAGCGTAAGTGTTTGATTTTTAGGAGCTCCCAGTTATCTACTTTCTCTTGTGGTGTTTGTGCATTGTTATGTTTTTTATTCTGTTTATGCCCTATATTAGGGCTCCTATTGTTGTCTCTATTTTTTCTTCCATGACCTTTATTGTTTTCGATTTTATATTTAGGTCTTTATCCATTTTGAGTTAGTTTTTGTGCATGGTGTGAGGTATGGGTCGTGTTTCAGTTTTTTGCAGATGGATATCCACTTATACCAGCACCATTTGTTAAAAAGACTGTCTTTTCCCCATTTAACAGACTTTTGGCCTTTGTCAAATATCAGCTGCTCATAGGTGGCTGAATTTACATCTGGGTTCTCAATTCTGTTCCACTGGTCTACGTATCTGTTGTTGTACCAGTACCAGGCTGTTTTGATTACTGTGGCGTTATAACGGGTTCTAAAATCCAGGGATGGAGAGTTTTCAAAGGCTCACAGGAAGAATGAATTTTCCATTCTCTGAAAAGCCATACTTACTCTGACTGACAGCTTTGTATTTTATAGAGGAAAAAACCCTGATATATACAGAGGAAAAGGAAGATTTTTGGGATCGTATACAGAGAAGACCCTAATGTGATTATATCAAAAGCTAAAGTGTCAGGATCTGAATAGACATTTCACCAAAGAAGATATAAAATGGCTAATAAGTATAATAAAAGACATTCAACATTATTAGTCATTAAAAAATACCAAACCTGACTGGAGAAACCCTGAGAGTATGGCCCCCAGATTCCCTTTTAACTCAGTACTGAAGTCACTTCTGAGGTTCACTCCTCCGTCAAAGATTAGACAGGCCAGTAAAAGAAAATGAGATTAAATGGGCACACCAGCCCAGGGGCAAAGATGAGAAAGCAGGAGGGGACAGGAAAGCTGGTAACGGGGAACCCAAGGTTGAGAAGGTGAAGAGTGTTGACATGTCGTGGGGGGGGGCAACCAGTGTCACAAAACAACATGTGTGTTGTTTCATGAGAAACTAATTTGCTCTGTAAAGCTTCATTTAAAATACAATTAAAAAAAAAAAAAAAAAAACCAAACCTGTTGCCGTCGAGTCAGTTCCAACTGATAGTGACCCCATAGGATAGAGAAGAACTGCCCCACAGGGTTTGCAAGTAGCGGCTGGTGGATTCGAACTGCTGACCTTGTGGTTAACAGCTGTACCACTTAACCACTGTGCCACCAGGGCTCCTATTAGTCATTAGGGAAACGCAAATTCAAACCACAATGAGATACCATATCACACCCACTAGGACAGCTATACTCAAAAAGACAGATACAACAAAAAATGTTTGTCAGGATGTGAAGAAGCTAGAATCTCGTACACTGGTGGTAGGAATGTAAAATGGTGCAGTCACTTTGGAGAACAGCTTGGCAGTTCCTCAAATTTTAAATACAGCTACAAGATGGCTTAGTAATTTCACTCCGAGGTATATACACACAAGAAATGAAAACATATGTCCACACACACACACACACACAAAAACTTGAATATGAATGTTCACAGCAGCATTATTCATAATAGCCCCAAAATGGAAACAACCAAAGATCTCTCAACTGATAAATGGGTAAATAAAATGTATATCCATACAATGGAATATTATTCAGCCATAAAAAAGAGTGAAGTACATGCTACAACATGGATCAACCTTGAAAACATCATGCTAAGCGAAAGAAGCCAAACACAAGGGCCACATATTGCATGATTCCATTTATATGAAATGTCCACAATAGGCAAATCTACAGACAGAAAGTAAACTAGTGGTTGTCTAGGACTAAGAAAAGGGAGAATGAGGAATTACTGCTAATGGATACTGGGGTTCTTACTAGAGGAATGAAAATGTTTTAAAATTAGAAATTATCTCCTAAAACACCTAAAAACAATAACCCAAGAGGTATCACTTTAAACATGCGAAAACAAGCTCAGCAGTTTGATTCCAGCATCATGCTCCTTCCGTTTACACCAAGTAAAGGGCAGAGACAAGGGAGAACAAATATAAGACACTGAAATCACTGCAATCATGTTACTATTCCCGGTCTCCTCACCTACATATATATAAACAAATTACAATTATCCCTTTTTCAAATGATCTTGGATCTTTTTAATGTGGGCTCTTTAATTGCACTGAAAATTCCTTAAGG